TTTTAGGTCTTTCGTTCCTGAAGCTGTTAGATTTTTAAAGCACACTTATAGTAGCTGTTTCACATAAACTGTCTTTTTTTCTTTTTTTCACGCTCCTTTGTTTGCATTTTTATATCTTTTATTATGAATGTATGATGAAGGCTGGTGGCTAACAAATTATTAACAAATTATTAAGGAATAAAGGTTTGATTGATTAAAAATCAATGAAGTCATTTTAAGAAGACCTAATGATTAAGGGAATAAGAAAGAGCATCATAATGTCATTTGGTAGACTTTAGATGTGTGGCAGTGGCGTTGCTAGATGGGGCCATTGCCACCTTTATGACCATCCCAACTAGGTAATTTGTTTTTTCCGTGTAAAGTGGAATGTCCTAACAATGATCGAAATTTTCATTGTCTGTATTTCAACCATAAACCGACAACAAAAATACAGAAAATTATTCACATCAATAAACATTTAAAAAGACAAATAGAGAAAGTATGTGCTTTTCAGATTTCTTTTGTTTTTTTATGCATCATTTGTGAGTCTCATATATGATAATAATAATAATAATAATAATAATAATAATAATAATAATAATAATAATAATAATAATAATAATAATAATTTAACTTTATTGATCTGACATTGGAGAAATTTACCTCTGCATTTAAACCATCCCCCTGGGGAGCAGTGGGACGTAATCATGGGGCGCCCGGGGAGCAGAGTGGGGTTAAGGGTCTTGCTTAAAGACCCAGAGTGGCAGTCTATGGGAGTGGGGCTCGAAATGTGAAAAGGCTCAAAATCCAGACTGATATCAACTGTTTAAACATTCCTAAGAGGATTAACCAGTATTCCTGTAGATACTGAATAAGTTTTTGCAGCTGTTGATGCAAACTTCAAAGCAATCAACATTAAATCCAGGTTAAAGTGCCTTTAAAATTGTAGATAAAGAAAATTGATCAAATTAAGCACTAAATGTATTTCCTGTATTAAGTTCATGCTTAAGTTCAGACATATTGTTTTTTTTTTTCATTTTAGAGGACTGAATTCCTTTTTTTTTACATCAACACAAAATTATAACCTAACCTTTAAAAAAAGCAATGTAGTGCAGCACCACCGGCATATCAGAGATCTTGGTGTTCAGCTAAATTACAAGAAAACCAAGCTGTTGCTTTCTTCGAGATCATGCAGAGCCACGAGTTCAGTTATGATTCCATCTGCTGCTCTAAGATTGCTTCACAACTGCTTGTGTGTTTTGATGGATAAGGGTTATAGTGATCAGCAGACACACCCTGTGGAGACCAAGAACAAATAAGATGAGGAAATTAGAGCTGGAGCAGACTGATCAATCTGATTAGATCTGCTGCAATAGACTAAAAATCCTAGAAAACAAAAATGCTGATCTGAAGTGGATGTAAAGCCTTCATCTTGAAGATGTTTGCAGCTGCAAAGGTTAACATTTATTAATACTGTAACAAATATGGAACTGTTTAAAAGTATAAATACATTAAATATAGGTTTACTTGGGAGAAAAGTCATGCTTAGGTGATATCCCCTTTAAAAAGCTGCATATACCGAGATTTATTAGAAAACAATTTAAATATACATATATTTTTTTTCTATGTTGCTGAAGAGGCTAAACTTTTCTGACATCGAAATGTCTGAGATGTTGTTGGAAGAAGGTGTGCTCTGAATTTGGTAAAACAATTATCTTAATCCTCTCTGTATTATCCAATAATACAAATATTCACACCCCAAAGATCATTGGCTCATCTGAGTATGCTGCAACTGTAAACCTATTAAACCTGTAAAATACTTAGAAAACTATGTATTGTTCTCCTTCCACCACACGGTTAGACCCTACCCAGTGTTTATCTAACAAAAAAGTTCCCAATAAAATATGAGAAGATTTGATGTTGTGATGTAAAAAAGGGGACTCAAGGTCGTGTGAGAAAGAGAAATTTGATGAATCTGTTTTTGTAACATTTACAGTTAAAAATGGCCATATTGTTTCTCTCAGAGTTGGATAGACCAACAGTGTACTTTGATATTCAAACTGTATTTCAAAATCTGGATGAAGCTTTTAGTTCAAATGAATGCTTAATTACTATGTTGGATGTGGGAAACTCACCTGTAGAGGAGCTGTGAATTGTGCGGCTTTATGTCCTGCATGCGTGCAAGCCACCCCACAGAATGTGAATCTAATAAATAAAGTACCTGGTTTACAAAACATCAAGCTCAAACGGCATGTAGCATTATTGTACTATCTTCTTTTTTTTTTAAATAACATTCTGATGATCTCTTCAGCTCATGACTCACTTCTGATGAGGACTTGCATGTGGTGACGAGTCGGGACATGACAATAGGTTACTCTTCAGGCGGATGAGCAAGAACTCGTGGACAGGTTGGAACTGACTCCTCAAATTTTGAGAAAAAGCTGCGGATCTAGAAGTGACTTGTTAGCAGTCTCCTTATGAGAGAGTAATAGTTTTTCCTTTGTTTTTTTCCTTTCCAGTAGAGTTAATGCATTTGGGTTCACCTGTCTAACAATTGCACAGGTAACTATAAGTAATTAAATTTTCAGGGCCTATGAAAGTCTGACCGGTGTCCTCACACATATGACCAATGTAAATAGCTTAAGGAGGAAGGGGGTCATCCACTTGGAGAATAGAGCGGGTCTGTATTCAAAGCTGAAGCTGAATCAAAATGCAGAAACATTATTTGTGTTGCTCAAACGTTGTTTTATTTTAGAAAAAAAATGAAAAAACGAAATACTTAGCACATTAATTGCCTCTGTTTTTTTTTTTTTTTTTTTTTTTTTTTTTTGAGGGATGAAAATATTTAAGAAGGAAAATACAAAACCTGTGGAATAATTAACATCAGGATCTTTTATCAATTGAAAATGGGCGGAAGTGTAGAAGTACCTACTCAGAGTAATCTCCTAAAAAGAATCCTCAGCAGTGACACCTGAATAAGCAAACAGCTGAAAAGGACTCATCAGATTAAGGCTATAACTTTTTGAATTAATTTATTTATTACATCTCTTTTTGAAGGAGGGAATCAGGCTGACAACTGGTTCCAGTGCTAAAACTGTTTTGAGCCAGCACAGGTTCACCTGGGGGTCCATAGATGTCCTATGTATGGACCACCAAACGACCTTCATTCTTTGTGGCATGTGGGCCTAATGTGAGCATATTGTGTGAGCCAGAACTGGGCCACACCAACTTTGAGGGAAAATGTATTAAGTTAGAGAATCAGGTTTTTAAGAAGTTTATGAACCGCAGAAACAGAAGGAGAGACTAAATTGAATGTGATAGAAAAATAAATAAAGGTGGGAAGGTTCTGGGTTCAAACCCCTGCCAGGGGTCTCTCTGCATGGAGTTTGCATGTTCTCCCTGAATGAGCGTGGGTTCTCTCCGGGTGCTCCAACTTCCTCCCACAGTCCAAAAACATGACGGTTAGGTTAATTGGCTTCTATAAATTCTTCTTCGGTGGGAGTGTGAGCATGAATGGTTGTTTGCCCTGTTTGTTGCCCTGTACAGGGTGTACCACAGATAGCTGGAGATAAGCACCAGCACCCCTTGCGACCCTGCTTGAGATAAGTGGGTGGATGATGGCTAACACAGTTGCTACAAAATTACCAGACACTGGTGGGCATACTTTTTCTTTATCATTATTTCTCTATTTCAATGAACTTATCTCATACATTATGCAATAGTGGATTCATCTATCAGGTATGTTTTTATCAATCACGTTAAGTCTGATTTGCTAAGCAGGAAAGGGTAAATATCTTGCCTCACTTTGTAGATAACTTAATTCATATTGGTAAAGTGTTTGTTTGTTTATCAGTTTAAGCATTTACAGGGCTTCCAACTTTTCACCAAACCTTGGAGTGAGATTTTGAAATAGTTTGGATAGGCCACCCTTGTCAGGGTTAGATTGAAAGGCTATGAGGATAGGTGCAGTTATCAGTTGTCAGTTTTCAGAGGATTTAACTGAAACAGAGCGGCAAAAGGTGGAATTTTTTAATAACAGTAAATATTACTGAATAACAATACGTTATCTGTAGTTATGTGTAACATTATAAAAACACCAAAATTATTTTTTATATTCTGGGGATTTTTAGATAATTGAAGTAAAGAAGTATGGGCCCTACTAAAATAATTGCATTTTAAATATACTTTAAACTGTGTTTATTAATTATACTATGCAGTTCAAGTAAAATAAACAATGAGGAACTAATGGGCAATCACTAGATAACTGGCACTAATACAAGAACCAGTGCAATCAAATCCCATGCAAACTACTCTGTGTATGAATATTTGGTAATAGTCTGAGGGTAAAAAATTATCTTAACTCGTTATCTTATTTGTTTTTCTTACAATTGACAAAATGGCCAAACAATTCAGACCTTCTAGGAGGCTGTAGATGGCTGCAACGAACGGTTATTTTGCAAATAGACTAACCTGTCGATTATTTTTTCAATTAATCGATTAATAATTGGATAGCCAAAGGTTCCTTTTAAAAAGTTTTTATACGAAATTAAACCAGGTGAAGCTAAATCTTTTCCACTTGGGGCAGTATAGAGCATCATGAAAGATTACATTTTTATTTTATTTTAAACATAAAATGTTCACATATTTATAAAATGTTAAATGTTTACATATTTGTTTTAAAAATTTGTAACAATAATATTTTAGAGTCTCTATATTCCAGTTAAGGATGAATGGATTACTAAATTAGTGGATTTTTATCAGCATTATATTTTTTATAGATAAATAAGTGGAATGGAGTTGCGTTTTAACGTCCGCATTTTTTAGAGTGAAAAATTGCGTATAAGGAGTGAGAGCGTGTGAGGACACTGAGATGTGTGAGTCTCACACCCAATGGGTGAGAGTTGACAGCCCTACATTTATCTAATCGTTTATTTAATCATTTATTACCACCGATTAACCAAAATTAACTTTGTAGGAACGAATGTTTGCTCTCTTTGTTTTAACGGACAAAATATCTGTGTGCACGAAGTTGGGCAGGGTTTTTTGCTATTCACAAAGCTCTTTTGCGAACTTACACTGACTGACAGTGATTCAGACTACGCCGTTTGCGTATATTTAATCGTAGTAATAAGCCGGTTGTCATTCTGTACACGGAGGTAATATTTCAGTTTTTCATTAATTTTTATTCTCGAAATACCCATTTTTTGTAAGAACATTACACTGCACACGTTTTTCTGCTTAACTGTTGACTTGCTGCTACTTACACAGTTAACGAGAGCAAAAACACATAACATCCATTAGCTAGCTATAGCAGGCATCATTTCCAGCTATCAATAGTGTGGTTTATTGTCTTAAACATTTGCCTTCTTTCTACCCGCTGTCTTCGTGTTTTTTTTAACAGTGTGGAAAAGAGGAAAAGATGTCGAAGCGAAGGATAACACAGGAAACATTTGATGCGGCTGTCCGGGAGAACATGGAGGAGTTTGAGATGGATCCACATGAGGCTCTGAGGGATGCAGTGGAGCAGTTCGAGTCTCAGGGTAAAATAACTAAAAATAAAAACACTAAAACATTGATTCCCGAAGTTGGGGTCGTGAACCCACTTGGGATCCTTGATCAACCAATATGAGGTCTTTGGTTTGCGCATTGAAGTTGGATATTTGACAGACATGGATGCATATGGTCTTAGCTCGGAGAAAGCAGCTACAGTCCTTCAGTTGCACCTGTGTTGCCAGTTGAGGAATGTAGGATTATCGTACTAGAGGTTTAATATTATCATATTTTGAGCCTAAATTGTTGTGCACACGTTATAATCAAAATAACAGTCTATTGATTTGCTATAGTCACTGTGTTGAACAGCTTCTAACTTTGTAGCTTCAGTACTGAATGGGTTCACCAGCAGACCCACAGCTGGGTAATATGTGGTCCATAAACAATCCATAAACAACAATCCATATGGAAAACGTTTATAACAAAAACGGGAGCAATGTTTCTATGTTTAAACAATGCCTTTTATGTAGAGACTCCTCTTCCTTTGTTCTCCTATTATTTTCCTTTTTCAAACTTCAGATTTCTTATTGTGACACACAAGTTAGTTCTGCTATATGTAATGAGGACCACGTGTTGAATCCAATTGACTTCCATTGACTTTCAGTCATTTTCAACCCTTTCTATGCCCAAACCCTAAAACTAACCCTAAACCTAAATATTACCAATGCATACCTCACCCTAACCCAAATGACACCTTAGCTCTAAACCTAACCATTAGCAAAGTACCTTGTAAAGACCAGCAAATTGTCCTCAATCTACAACAACAGGTCCTCAGGTATTTGTGTGCAACAGGACTAAATGTTATAAAAAATCAGTGGCTGGCACATCCCAGCAGGTACAAGGCACATTTAAATAAATAAGTCAGAAATGGTTGGTTTGTGATAAAAAAATAATTACAAATCAAACTTAATAATGATGCTAAATATTTGTAGAACACAGAAATGGAGAAATGAAATCCAACCTTATTTTAGTGGGAAGCCAAAAGCTGCATCATCATCACATTTAATAAAATGGCCACGGGAGGAACTTTTTTTTGGAATATCACACTCAATATCGACAAACACAAAGACTAAATACTTATTTAGAATACTGAGTGTAGCAGCCAGGAAAGCAATCACCAAGAAATGGCTAAAACCAGGCAGCCCATCCATCGAGGACTGGTATGGTGTCATCTACAAAATATTCATAATGGAAAGAATGACTTTTTCCATCAGGTTACAGAAATCAAAATTTGAAGACAATTGGAATTTATGGAAAACGTACATTTCTTCAAGGTGCCCTTCCTTAATCTAATTGATTCAATTTTCAATTATTTTTGAAACTTTGTCTATTTAATTTCAAACAACCCCCTTTACTCTTGACAAAAATGAAAGAACACCTCAGGTTCTATGTTTGTTCCTATGTTCGATGGGCGAGCTGTACTGAATAGAAAAACATATTGTACAAAATGAAAAAAAATAAAAAATGTTTTTTGTTGTAATATTGTAACCATCTGTGTTATGATGATGTGGTATTTCAATAAAGAGAATTAAAAAATAAATAAATAAAATGGCCACAACAAATAAAACAGGTTTTTGTTTGCAGGTGTGGATCTCGGTTGCATAGTGAAAGTTGTACCGACTACATCATCTGATGACAATCAAGAAGAGCAAACACATGAAGTCTTACAGGTGAGTTTTAATACAAATAAATAAATAAAAAACAACAGCATAGATTTGGTTAGTGAAGGTTTTTTTTTTTTTTTTATTATGTTCATGTCTTGGACTGATTGCAGGCTTTAGAATCTCTCCGGATTGGTAAGGACACTGCCGCTTTAACTGACGTGACAGCGGACTTAAAATCTTTCACCGAGCAGTGCTCACTTGGATTTGCACAGAGGTACCTTGCTGCTCAGAAAGATGCGTACCCCATCATCCTCTCATTCTGCAAAAAGAGCGTGGAGGAGCAGGATTTTGCCTCCGCTGCACTTTTTGCTCTGGCTGCATTGACAGATGGACAGCCAGACTTGTTGGACGAGGAAGGACGGCGGTTCCTTATAGATATTCTCCAGAGATACCAGGCGGATTCCTTGGTGACAGGCGTCGCCATCCGAGTGCTGCGTCACTGCTGCACTAAACACGAGCAGAACAGGCAGGATCTGGTTAAAGATGGAGTTCTGCCGCTGCTGACCGGTGCCATAACACGACACAGTGGTAGTGCGGAGCTTGTTAAGGAGGCATCGGCTGCTCTTAGGGTCATGACCTTCGACGACGATGTCCGAGTTTCATTTGGGCATGCTCACGAACACGCCAAGAGTATCGTTCTTGAGCACAGTGGACTGAAGATCCTAATAGAGGCTGCAAAATGTAAGGCAGAGTAATCCATTGAATGGTGGTTAAATAAAGGATATTCCATCATTTTTTATTTTCCCTCTCCCTCACAGCTCACATCGGCAATACTTCTGTTCTGAGTGAACTGTGCGCAGCTTTATCCCGACTGGCTGTCAGGAATGAGTTCTGCCAAGACATCTGTGATCTGGGAGGATTAAAATTTATGATGACTTTACTTGCAGACAGCTATGAGTCACCGGTAATGTCAACAAACCCAAAACAAAAAAAACAAGTCATATTCGAGTGTGTTTTTCTTCCTCATTCTTCCTGAACTCTTTACTGTCCCTGCAGGAGTTGGCCGGCAGGTCCTTAGCGCCATACGTGCAATAGCAGGAAATGATGACGTTAAGGATGCAGTTGTCGGTGCTGGAGGCGTCGACCTTATTGTTATTGCTATGAACCGCCATACAAACAACCCTGCTGTAAGTGGTTACGCTTGAATAATAATTTGAGGGTTAGATTTTGTAGGTGTTACATACACTCCTCTGGCTCCACCCTACTTAAGCTCTGGTTGTAGATGAGCTGGAAACGTCTGGTAATGTTCACCACTCCCCACTTCAGAAACAAACGTTTGTTTGGGTGTGATGTTTTTCTGTTTTGGATGTTTTATCTAAATCATGTTGCCTTTCATGGTTCTATTTGAAAGTGAATAATTTGGTTAATTAAAATAATTTAATTTCACAAGGCGGCAATTACTTTTACAGGTTGAAGCTGATTGGGTTGCTTTTTCCTCATTTTCTGTCGGATATAGTTAGATTTTTTGAAGCTATTTAGATGTGATAGAAAATAATTAATTATGGTAGTGTGGCACTGTAACTTTCTTCTAAAAAATATCCATAGATCTGTTATTTATGGTTGTAATGTTAAAAAATGTGGAAAGACCTATTAGCGTGAATATGATGTGACGAAATTGTCCTTATGTTCCCCTGCAGGTCTGTGAGCAGGGCTGTGCATGCCTCTCTGTTCTTGCCTTACGAAAACCCAACAACTGTAAAGTCATCATGGAGAACGGAGGTGTGATGGCCGCTGTTCAGGCCATGAAGAACCATCCCAATGCTCTGAATGTTCAGGTAACTTGAGATGACTTAGAGCACTTACACCCGCATCAAGATGGAGAGTCAAGCTCTTTTATGTATGCTCCTATTCTCCTTTTTGTCAAACAGAAACAGGGCTGTATGCTGATAAGAAACCTGGTTGCAAGAACGCGTAACTACAGCCAGCAAATCCTGGAGCTGGGAGCAGAAGCCCTGATAACTCGGGCTGTGCAGACACACAAAGACTGTGGTGATGAGGGCAAAGCAGCTCTCCGAGATCTGGGATGCAAAGTGGAGCTTCGAGAGCTGTGGACTGGGAAACATGGCAGCATTGCATATTAGGAGTGGAATAAAACGGCAATGCACAGGTTACAACTTTAATTCCAACCAAAAAAGCTGTAAGGTTTTTCCACGGCAAATAATACAAACTAACCTACCTGGTGGGAATAAAGCTGTTGATACAGCTGCTTTAATGCTGATGAAACTTAATTAAAAATATTCCCAAAAAAACAAAACAGACATTTTAACCTTGTGAAAGTCACAGTAAATAGAGGTTTGCACATTTCTTTTAATTTTATTTTTTTAATGTTTATAAGATGCACATTTTTGTGCCTTCTGGCTAACTTGGCTGTGCAGCTTTTTTGGCTAAACCATCTTTTAACAGTAATTGAATGCCTTGTACTTCTGTAGGTTTTTTTTTTTATTTATTTTTTTCCATCATCGATTTCATGGTTTCATTTTTTACTCTCCCCGTACTGATTAGCATATTACATGACAGCTTGCTTCTGGTGAGCCTTTCTTATTTTATGTAGTGCGTATTCTACAGATTGATAAACACAGTAAATAAAACTGTAAATCTAACAAAAGTGTTGTAAGTCGTTCTTCTTTCATGTAGTGTACGTCTAACCCAATGACAGCTGGAAACAGACCTCCATGACACTGCAAAGACAAACAGGATGCTTTAACTAAACAACAAATCAGCTTTTTTTGTAGACAATCTGTAAAATTTGGCCTCTAAATGGGCTGTATTTATATTACTGTGCAAAAGAAGGACGTTCTTGTGTAAACTTGTATAGTTCTTGAAATATTTGGACCGAGAATGTTTTACTGCTGCCCTCTGTGGGTTGAAATGTGTGTGTGTTTTAGATAGTTTTTTAGATAGTTTTTGTACTATCTAAAAAAAAAAATATATTTCTGAAAATTGAGTAGGTAAATAAAATGATCTGGTAATGGAGTTCGTATTTTTCTTCTTAGAATAAGACAATTACATGTTATAAACTTTTAGTAAGACAATGCAATTGTTTTTTTTTTCAATTTTAAATGTAAATTGTGTTATTCTACTGTCAAAGTGATTCACTTACCTGCTTAAAGAAAAAAGCACTTATTTTAAGAAAAAGTTGCTTTCAATTTTTTTTCTATAAATATATATATACACTATATTGCCAAAAGTATTTGCTCACCTGCCTTGACTCACATATGAGCTTAAGTGACATCCCGTTCCTAATCCATAGGGTTCAATATGACGTCGGTCCACCCTTTGCAGCTAGAACAGCTTCAACTCTTCTGGGAAGGCTGTCCACAAGGTTTAGGAGTGTGTTTATGGGAATTTTTGACCATTCTTCCAGAAGCGCATTTGTGAGGTCGCACACTGATGTTGGACGAGAAGGCCTGGCTCTCAGTCTCCGCTCTAATTCATCCCAAAGGTGTTCTATCGGGTTGAGGTCAGGACTCTGTGCAGGCCAGTCAAGTTCATCCACACCAGACTCTGTCATCCATGTCTTTATGGACCTTGCTTTGTGCACTGGTGCACAGTCATGTTGGAAGAGGAAGGGGCCAGCTCCAAACTGTTCCCACAAAGTTGGGAGCATGGAATTGTCCAAAATGTCTTGGTATGCTGAAGCATTCAGAGTTCCTTTCACTGGAACTAAGGGGCCAAGCCCAGCTCCTGAAAAACAACCCCACACCATAATCCCCCCTCCACCAAACTTTACACTTGGCACAATGCAGTCAGACAAGTACCGTTCTCCTGGCAACCGCCAAACCCAGACTCGTCCATCAGATTGCCAGATGGAGAAGCGCGATTCGTCACTCCAGAGAACGCGTCTCCACTGCTCTAGAGTCCAGTGGCGGCGTGCTTTACACCACCGCATCCGACGCTTTGCATTGCACTTGGTGATGTATGGCTTGGATGCAGCTGCTCGACCATGGAAACCCATTCCATGAAGCTCTCTGCGCACTGTTCTTGAGCTAATCTGAAGGCCACATGAAGTTTGGAGGTCTGTAGTGATTGACTCTGCAGAAAGTTGGCGACCTCTTCGCACTATGCGCGTCAGCATCCGCTGACCCCGCTCCGTCAGTTTACGTGGCCTACCACTTCGTGGCTGAGTTGCTGTCGTTCCCAAACACTTCCATTTTCTTATAATACAGCTGACAGTTGACTGTGGAATATTTAGGAGCGAGGAAATTTCACGACTGGATTTGTTGCACAGGTGGCATCCTATCACAGTTCCACGCTGGAATTCACTGAGCTCCTGAGAGCGACCCATTCTTTCACAAATGTTTGTAAAAACAGTCTGCATGCCTAGGTGCTTGAATTTATACACCTGTGGCCATGGAAGTGATTGGAACACCTGATTCCAATAATTTGGATGGGTGAGCAAATACTTTTGGCAATATAGTGTATATATATATGTATATGTGTGTGTAAATATATGTATATATATATATATATATATATATATATATGTTTAGATATGTATGTATATATATATATATGTATATATATGTATATGTAAAACAAAACCAAACTCACAAAGGTCACACACACAGCTGCTAAAATCATTGGACTCCCCACACCCAACCTCACAGACGCAAACCAACAGGCCATTGGACGTTTTTCACTCTCCATAGAACGGGACCCCACTCACCCACTACAGGACTACCTCATACCCCTGCCCTCTGGACGGAGGTACAGGGCACTCAGGTGTAGTAGGGCCCGTTTTGGCAGGAGCCTGATTCCTGCAGCCATCACCTTTTTAAACAACAGGCCCCGTTGAGTGTATCATGTCTCGTATCGCGTCTTGTACTTTTGCTGGTGTTGGTGTTTACTGTGGTGTCTTTTTTTTTTTTTTATGTCTTTGTGTAAACGAGCTCTGTTTATGTGAAAAAGAATCTCCCCTTGGGGACAAATAAAAGTCTAAAAGTCTATGTATATGTGTATGTTTGTTTGTTTGAATCTTGTTGTACATGTCTTTGTTAGAGTGCCATGCTTTCGATTTACCTAAGAACTGAATTGGGAAGTCAGTGATGTCATCTCTGAGGGCCACTGTACAACCATAACAATGAAAGCTAATGAGAGCTAATCACTTGGTTGTAGGGACAGGATGAAGAAAAACAAGGCACAGTTTTCACTTTGTGGCCTTTTTCTTTAGCGATGATTCCAAAACATTTTTTTTCGTCTGTACTGCCCTTAAAGTAATTTTATCCGACAATGAAAAATATATAGAAAACAGATTAATTTTAATAGAGTTTTGTTACATAGAATCTAACTCATCTAGAGACTATGCAATTATCTTATTCTTATTTCAAGAATATTTTTTTTTTCAAATTCAATGCTGTAGAGTCAAATGTACTTATTTTAACATCCATTTTGTTATAAGCCAGGAGAGTGGAGCAAGTTACTCAGGCTGGACCGTCACCTTTGAGGAATGTCCTGCTGATTTTTATGTGTAGATTAAAAATCACCCCATTTATCCCACATTATGATTCAAAATTTGTGAGGATTTAAAGCATTCACATCCAGTTGGCAGACCCAACAGACCCAAACTAGAGAAAATAGCCATTGTATACCACATTATACCACATTACTTGCATGAGAGTAATCACTGTCGGTGCTGTTGACATTCTGCACCTGTTTGCTTCTGCATCAATATAACGCTTCAAATTCTCAAACATTCTTGTTTTGTTTGTTTTTTGCATTATTTTCTCTGAGCTTTTACTATTGATGGACTTCTGTGTTTTTTTGTTGCTGAGTTTCTCCTAATTGTTTGAATGGTATTAAAAGAGCATGGTTAAGGCACTGTATTTATTATAGTTACTTAAAGAAATTAGAACTGACAAGTCAGATGGGGCATGGCGATGGCACAGGAGTTGGGCAGAGAAGCTTTAGGCTTTGGTGTGGCTGTCAGAGTTGATTCCTGGCCTGTTTGCCTTTGCCACATGTCTTCCCTCTCTCTCTTATCCCATTTCCTGTCTACCTAATAAAAAAAAAATCATCAAATAAAAGGCCCGAAGAGCTGAAAAATTAACATTTAAAGACAATTAGCAAGTAAGAGCTTAAAAATGAGAAAAAATAAATGTTACACACTGTTTAGGCATTTTCTTAGTAAAAGAAATCCCTACTACTCCTAAAAACAAGAAAGACTGGTTGTTTTTTAGTTATTCTAGACACGCCCATGTTTTCATCTTATTGTAATAAATGTGAAAATGTCAGTACAACTAGCAATTAAAAACACTTGAACTCCATCCATCCATCCATCCATCCATTTTCTTACACGCTTGTCCCGAGTTGGGTCGCGAGGGGTGCTGGTGCCTATCCACTTGAACTTAAATTGATCTTTGATTTTGTCTTCTTAATTGCTTTTATAGTATACACTGTCAATGTTTGATTCAGTATGTAATCTGCTGGAACAATCTTTTTCTACATTATTTAAACTTAATGACTTTTAAAACTTTGATTTATAATAGTGTAATATATTTTTTTTAACTCATAGACCTGCTATACATAAAATAAGTAAAGTTTGTTACATTTGTGTAATTTATTTGGCCAGGTTCTTTTTTTAACCTATTTAATATGACTTTATGACTAAAGCTGGGATATATAGGCATTTTCTCAATATTTTTAATTTATTTTGAGCTTAATAGTTTTCCAAAAAAAGAACAAGAAAAAAGTGACGTTTCAACAAGGGTTAAGAAAGGAAAAAAATCCATGAAAAAGCCCCGTGTTCATACCTGTGTTTAGGTTTTAAAGTTGCCGTTTACGCCCCTCTAGTCAACCTATCCAAGCGTCCCTCGCTTCATTGAGACTACGTTTCCCACAATGCAACGGGGCTCGCCCTTGTCAAACCTGCCTTGGGTGGCTGACAGGAGTAGTAACGGCAGAGATACCAGAGCGTGGATGATGTCTGTCACATGAAGTCACCGAAGCGCGGCTAGTTATTTAAACTGTAAGGGAAACAGTGCCTTAAAAAAACAGAAAAAAAAAAACTTCTGTCAGTGTTCCTTCTCATGGTTTATATCCCCTCTCAGCTGAATATCAGAGTAGTACTGACGGTAATGTAGCGGGGTGGAGCTAACAGCTAGCATTCGTTACTTAACCTAGTAGCAGTTGGTTAAAGAGCCACTGAGGAGCACAGAGACGACTTAAAAGTTAAACAGCAGGAGTGGGAGATCAGACCGAAATAAACCTTCGACTTGGTGTGAGCTTTACAAGGTAAGATACCGGGGGGTGTTTGTATTTTCTAGCTGGTTACATCCAGCTGGCTGCCAAGATTCACTGGGTCTGTTGTTTTGTTTGTGGACAAGTTTGAATAAGCCTGCAGCTCCAAGCAGAGACACTACAGTTATTTCAGTAAATGGGTGTATAAATGTTGGCTCACCCTGACTGGGTAATGTGGACAGGCTCAGCATTAGGAGTCATTTTCAAAAATAGAGCATATTTTCTTCTTCTTCTTTTTTTTTATCAACATAGAAGCCCCACAAAATAACAGCCGGGAGAAAAACAAAAAAAAACCACCCCTTTAAGAAACCCAGGTAATTGTACTAACAGATCAACTATTTTTCATTTTAAGTTTGGTAAACAGGTTATTATTATGTTCAACAGGACTTTATCATCTATTCAAAGCAAAAATGTATGACCTCCGCCAGATAGGCGGCAATGATTACTGCTAATACCTAACATATTTAAATATGCTGCCATTAGATGATGGGAACTAGTGAATTTAGCCTCGATCAGCTCTGATGTAATAATTGAGCTTTATTAACCTCACACTGGAGAAATGAACTCTCTGCATTTAACCCATCCCCTTGGGATTCGGTGAGCTGCCATTGTGCTGCGCCCAGGGAGCAGTGGGGAGTTAAGGGTCTTGTTCAGGGACCCAGAGGGCAGGCTGTGGGGATCAAACTGGGTACTTGCAACCTTTAAGAGCACAAGCACACTGCTCTAACCACAAGGCCAATACTCCCCCCAACCACCCTACTTGATAGGGTGGTTCTTAAAATCTTTTGTTTTTCCTCACTGTTAATTAAATGTATTAAACTTGTTATTCTTGTCACGTCTTTTGATTAACAATGACTTAGCTTACTAAAAACTTCTATAGGATTGGACGATGTTAAACAATTATGCCCTAGGAAGATTACTGATAAAAATCCATGATATCGGTTACTATAAATTCCCACTTCTCTCACTACTCTTTTCCAGCTCGATATTGCACACAGTACGACTAGGCTATATAGACTAAACTGTTATCAAGAGGTTTTTATTTTGGCACTATCGCGATAATGATCAAAGTGATGATTAAAACACAATTCATTGATTCTTTGAAGTCCTTCTTGGGTAACTGTTTAGTTTTGACTGCGTCCCACAGCAAGCGTAGCTGCACAATCACAAATGCTACAAATGCACATTTAAAATGTGCTTCTTTAGGACAACAGTTACATACAAAAATGTGATTTATATCAATAAACATCCCTTACTAACCGCATTTGATGTTATTCTTTATATTTCTCAATGCCCAAATGGGAAAAAGGTATTAACATGATTTATTCATGTTTGAACAATTTCTTGTTTTGATAATAATTCAAAATTGATATCATGAATAAAACTTTATCAAAATAGTGATAAACGATATGATAAATGCGGACTCCTAGCACAGAGTAATATTTCCATGAGGATGTTGTGCAGATTAAAGGGCATATTTCTTTTAATGTGTAGATGGAGATAAAGTTATATTTTTTTAATATTCCTTCAGATTTGCAAAGTAATGCAACTATTAAAAAAAAATAAAACGGATGAAAAAACAGAACAGGATTTGCAGGCAAGACCACAGAGAAAAGTGGAGCTTTTTATCAGCCAGAGGAACTGCTATGTGCTGCTGTTCTCTGTTAAAACATTAACATATCAACCCTCTACTAAATGTAGTAGTTTTAGAGAAATGCCTCCTGATTACAATTTTTTTTTTGTTACAGTTCTTTGCTTTATTCGTAATAAGTTAAAAATTATGAAGGCAGGTAGTTATAGAAAAGCATTTTCTAATAAACGGTATTAAATGGCTCATGTTACAAAGTGAAAAACTTGTAAATCCATAAATATATATTTCTTTTAAATATGGGGAAAGCATAGTAGCTATCTTTTAGGCAGTTTTCAGTTAAATTGATTTGAAAACATCTCATTGAAAGGCCTCTAAACCATAGAAGGGTAGTTATAATAATGGGTTATAATGGATTTAAAACCTGAATAAAAAAGTAATTTTTCATTATCTGTCTATATTTTATATTTTAAAAGCTAAGGGAGGCTTTTAACTTTATTTCAGGTTTTAAACATTCAGAAAATAACTTATCAACAGACACTGATTTAAACTGGGAGGTTTGGAAATAAAAAAAAAGATGCAGAACACTTATTTCACAGAGAGGCTTTTGGGCCAGCAATGAGTAAAGAAAGTGAAAGATGATATACTGAAGAAAAAAAAGAAGAACATATTGTTGGAGAGGGGAAAAGTACAGGAGGTGTATCAAAGGCCTTTGTTTGTTCACTAGAGAATCTGTCCTCTTAAAGGCTTTTTGTAACGATGCCAGGCTTGGTTCCCCCTAACTACACGGCTTTCTTTCTAGGAGACTCTCTGTTTGTCCTCTTGCTTCATAACTTCTGTTTATTTAGCATTTAGTGAATAAAAAAAAAAAAAGGAAGCACAGATTTTACCATAATCACATTTTCTGAAGTTTAGAGAAGGTTTCTTTAAGGTTTTAAAGCATCAAATGAATTCATTCATCTTACTGTCTGTTTTTTTGGCCCTCGGTTTATTTTTTGTTTTCTTTTGGAAGAGGGACATTTTATTTATTTTTTTAAATCAAACAAAGCAAACTGTTGTTCAGGGCTTCGGTACTGACTGACACAGTTGGACGCTAGCTTGTAAAAAGAGCATCCTGCTGCTCCAGAGAGATTTCTTTCTATTCTGCCCTGCTTTTACAGGTTATCTTAATTTATTCTGTCTGCTGTGATAATTAGTAAATTAGTTGCCAAAACGTTTCTGACAGGAAATTTGTGACATTTGTAATGTTTGTTTTGATGTATCTTTGTTTTTATTTAACTCTATATAGATTTAAAAAAATGAACAAACTTGTTAGGACAGATTTCAACTTCATGTTGAAGTATTTATATTTGCAAGTTGGATATTGATATGCCTTTGTAAGCTTTTACTCTTTTAGCCAAATCGAAGCACATAGGTGGCTGTGTTATAAGACAAATCTTAAACACACTGCTTCCTCGTGTGACATCACAGAAAAGTCCAAAGAAATCAGAAACTAGTCCGTGAAGTAGTTGGGGGAAAAAAAACATGTTTCCTGAGTCGCCTGGTTTAGCTTCCAAACATTATTTGAGTTTTTTTTTTTACTTACAAATTTAATCTGATTGATTAAAAACTATTGACATAATTTTGGATAATTGCAAGAAAATATTTAGGCAATCAAAAAAGAGCTTATAAAGTTCTAGGTTTAGACTATTTCTATATCAGAAAAGGTATTTTTGTTAACTTATGTAAATGTCTGGTTTTAGCTCTACATACCAAAACATTAGGGCTTTACATGTGATTAAAAGCTGTGAAGCTGACTCAGTGAGCCAATACAAGGGGTGGAAGGTTGCGTGAATGGCTGACTTGTATGGTGAAATGATTAGCTCATTGGAAAGCATGCGAGGGCCTTTGTTTCCCCGTGATCAGAAGTCAAAAGGTTTCTCACCAAAACCTGATCTCAATCAGATCTTTGCTGAATAGATGGTCCTGATTGTTGGGAGATGTTGTAATGCTCAGATGTGGTATTCTAGCACAGGAGTGTCCTGAGAGACGCAACAAATGAACACCTTTCACCTACTTAACACTAGAAGTCCTCAGCTGTGTCCTTCAAGGAAGTGTTTTCTTGTGTTTAATGATAACACATGAAGGCTTTTCTTGGCAGTCATCTGACTCAGCATTCTGCATGCTTTAAATTTTATTAAGAGATCTGTTTGTGATTGCATTATTTAACCAACCCTGTTTGGGTAAACCTAGATCTGTTAACAGTGTTTGAATGGGAGCCGTCATGCTAGGTCACTTGATCCTGATGCTTTTTACATGCTACTAGGAGGAAACATTTATACATCTACAGGACACTGCTTCGTTTATATTTAGACTGACCTAAAAGTGTACTTTTTTTTTTTCTTTCTGCTGACCTCTTGCAGCTCTCACCTTTGGGAGCACCCCTCGCCCTCCTTGTCAGCCAAATGCATGAGCGTGCTTGGTGAATCCAGGGGGATGGGAAGCGGAGTCCAGGAGCAGCGAGCCTCACTGACGCAGGGAGAGGTGCTGCCCATCTCTTCCTCCAGTCAGTCTGAAGCAAGCTTTGAGGTAACATGCCAGATATGTTCTTTTTACCAGACTCCAGTCATCTCATCAAGTCAGTCCAATCTGAGCATGATGACCTAATGAGATGACTGGAGTCTGGTGTGCTATTGTTTGGTTGGAAAGAAAACCTGCAGCCACACGGCCCATTCTGGAACCAGTTTGAGACCCCTGCTTTAAATCTTTCCATTTGCTTCTTCAAGAATGAGAATCTAAAATCTGAGTTAATTTTCTAACTTAGTCTTTTTGAGATGGTGCTCCATCACTATAGTTGGTAAGCTTGGGTTTAGCATGAAATGTCTAAGAGAATACAAATAAATCAATTTAAGGACTGCTGACAAAGTATTTTACATATACATTTCATAGGAAATTACCTTTAAATTAATTTTTAATCACTTTTAGGGAAAATGAGGTGGAATGTATTCTGACCCTTACAAACTCCCTTTTTTGCAAGGATACACCCAAAAAATGTGACTTGTTTACACGTTCATATGTAGTGTTGGCAACATTAGCAGTTTGCCATGTTTAATTTACCCATGTTTACCAGTCTCTCTACACAATTGTTACAAAATTACACACCTAGAGTCCCAGATTGCTGGATTCACCCCTTTTGGTGGAATAGTGGTGGAAGCAAGGCAGGCTAATGTTACCATCCTTTCTAAACCGTCCTCTTTTGGGCTTTTCTGGTTTGGAAAAAAATAACTAAAAACCAACACGCACGTCTTAAGATAAAAAATTCATATTTCAGGGTGACGACTCAGTTCCATATTCATTTATAGATGACGCAAATTGCTAGAAAAACAATTATATTTAAAGGTATAAGTAAAGATAGGATTTACACAACGTTTTTAAAAGACCGTCCCTCTCCACGGGTGCGAGAGCACGGAAAAGCCCATTTCTCCTGGAGCATGCAATGTTTAAAAGTTGCTGTTCTCAAAGCTTATACAAGCTTGCTGTGCCTGAACGTCCTTCCTAACCCCTAAATCGTTCAAGCACTATATAGAGTGGGGACTATATAGTGGTCTTTACAGCGAACTCAGTTAACTGACCTTTTGGACAGATGATCACAATTTTTTGCTCCCGGTTGGTCACGTAACTCCTCCTCTACCACGTAGTGCCTGCGCCATCTTTAGTAGCCGTCACTGTCAGGTAGTGACGGCTGTTAATAATTTTCTACATTCATGATAATTGCAAAATGCACCTGTTTCAAGTAACAGAAAACAAAAAGTCAAACTCTTATGAGGAAAGCGCAAATAAACCGTTCTAAAGATGTTAAAGTAATGTGAATGTAATGTAAATCCCTTTATTTTCCCACAATGGGGAAACTGCTCTCTGCATTTTGACCCATCCCCTTGGGGAGCAGCAGGCATTGGGTGCAGTGGGTTAAGGGTCTTGTGCAGGAACCCAGAGTACAGGCTGTGGGGATCACAACCACGTACTTGCAACCTTCTCAAAGCACAAGAGCACTGCTCTAACCACTAGACCAACACTCCCCAGATAACAGATATTCCTTTATCACTAACTGTTAACAGCTGTTTCTTGGTTTCCAGCTTTCCAAAAGTCTCACTTTCTTATCACACATATTGACAGAAAAAAAGTTAGATATGATATCATACAGCCCAGATGAACCCAGATTGTTAGTAAAGGAACATTTTCATAATTATTACATGTTATAAATGTCTATCCCTGCTATTTTTTTATTTTCACTGTAATTAATTGTAGGAACAAACACTGAAATCTTCTAAAATCAACTGTTTAATCCTTACTGTGTGACTTCATGTTTACTTAGGTTGACTACATGTCTGCTTGTATGACAGCTTGTGTTTATTATTCTGTAACTCTGGTTAATGCTATATTGGGTCTGAAACACGACTATGTTTATGTAAAGACATTGCTAAGAATAACAGGATTTCTCCTTGGCTATGCAGGGCATCAAACAAACTCGATCTGTCCTCAACGCTCTCTTCTCTGGGGCTTTAGCCGGAGCCGTGGCTAAGACCGCCGTAGCCCCTTTGGATCGAACAAAAATAATCTTCCAAGGCAAGTGAGATGCTCTGCTAAGCTCTATGTACTATTAAATGGCAGCAATCAATTATAGACCGATGTTTTCCTGCAAAAAATACAAATAATAAATTGGTGTGTGAAGAAAGATGTATTAAAGTTAATTATATTCATATTTGTGGTTGTCTTTCAGTGTCCTCAGCAAGATTCTCAGCCAAGGTATGCCTAAGGAAGATCTTCAAATATTTAGTTATTTAAACAAAAGAGAGGAATTATTTAAATGTATTTAAATGGTCTGGATGAACAAAAATAGAATTCAGCACTCAAGCATATTTGCATTGAATGCAATATTATTTTATGCTATAAGTCATGGTATGTTTGAGGAATCATGTAACCTTATTTCCATGTAATGATTATTAATCAGTTGTTGTAAATGCTGTAACAGGAAGCGTATAAGCTGATCTACCGCACCTACCTGAAGGATGGCTTCTTCAGTTTGTGGAGAGGGAACTCTGCTACAATGGTGCGAGTCATCCCCTATGCTGCCATCCAGTTCTGTGCTCATGAGCAGTACAAAAGGCTGCTGGGAGGATATTATGGCTTTCAGGGGAAGTAAGTGTTTGGTTATTTAGACTTTTTCTAAACTTCAATAAACTGTTAATCCTAATGGACATATTTACACTACTATTATTTTTTTTTCTTTTCTTTTTTTCCCCCCAGAGCTCTTCCTCCAATCCCTAGGTTGGTGGCTGGATCAATGGCTGGAACCACAGCAGCCATGCTGACCTACCCACTGGACATGGTGAGGGCCAGAATGGCTGTAACCCCCAAGGAAATGTAAGAATAATCTTCATAGTTTTACAAGATTGTATTTGTGCACTAATATTTGAATGAGTCCGACGACGTTGTAGAAACTTTCTTTTTAACTTTGTAGAGTCCTATATTGTTAAATATAATTTAGTTAATTATCGTGATACTTTTTTTTTTTAATTACTTAACCCTCTCATGCATGAATTATGACAAACTCAGTCAGGATTTCTTTTACTAATTGTTTTTATAAATCCTTAGGAATGTAAAACAAGGTTTGAAAAAACATGTTTTTTCTGTCTTTATTTTGTAAAGAAATATTTATCTGTCCACTCCAGTGTTTTTCATACATTTTATACTGTAAAAAAATCAATATACCAAAAAAGTAGTTGCATAGATATAGTTGTAATTTAGTCTTACTGTTGTAATGTGGTATTCTGTTTGAATGGTGGTTCCTCTACTCCCCTGTAGAAACAGAAATGGCTGAGGTGGTTGGTCTTTTTCCTTGTGTGTCAGCCATTTTGGTTCCAATGAATTTTTTTTTAACATTACATTGATCATATTGGATTTTTCTGTATGGGAGGATGCAATAGCTTCCACTAGATTGGACTATATGCATAATTGCAAAGCTATATGCTGTAGTGATCGCTATGCATGAAAGGGTTAATGTTAATTATAATAATGACAACAGAATTTAGAAAACCCCCCCAACATACTTTGTCGCCTCTCTTTTGTTAGGTTGATATATTGTATTACTCCCTGGGTAATTTTAAGTTGTCAATCCATTATTTGCGTTCTTAATTTGTTTTATTTTATATTTGAAATGCAGGAAGCCGTTTATTTTCTGATGTTCTCTTTTGAGACTAGGGCTGAGACTAACAATTATTTTCCATATCGGCTAATCTCTTGATTATTTTTTCGCTGAAACGATTAATTATCGGATAGCAAAAGGTTCCTTAAAGAAGACTTTCTGTGAAATTAAACCAGGTGAAACTAAAATGTTCCACCTGAGGAGTTCTGATTGAGCATATTGATGGACGGAAAATATTTTTATTTTAAATTGAAAATGTAAAATTTTTATTTTTTTGTACAATTTTAGTATAATTACTGCTTAAGGTTGGTTGCTCTGTCAGCTAAATGCATGTTTTGGAGTCTCTATACTCTAGTTAATTGATTAATCGATTACTAAGTTAGTTGACTATTATTTCAATAATTGATTAATCACTATTAGTTGTTTCAGCTCTGCTTGAGACGCTTGAGAACCAGAATAGATTTGATCACATATGCAACCATTTTATTGTCTGAGTTCAAACCAGACAGAAGGAACTTGCCCTTGTTACACAAACCAAAATAAATGAGTGATTGTTTAGGCGTCTTCAACAGTTTATAGGACACTAAGTAGTTAACATGTGTTGGAGGAGGGAGGACATCTAAAACAAGCAGCTCGGAGTAAAGATTTCTTTATAAAATTCTGCTTTACTGTCAGATCCCTTATGGTCACAAACAAATCTATTTTTTTCAGATTTTAAGTTTTAAGGAACTTCAAGAAAGCTTAGATTTTTCCTAGAATAGCTTTTTAGGATTGTTTCTAATCCATTTTAAGCTCACAGCAATAAAAACATGTTTGATTTATAGTTTTTTTTTTTTCTCCTCTGTGTAGGTACAGCAATATTCTGCAAGTTTTTGTGCGGATCTCTCAAGAAGAGGGCTTGAAGACTTTGTATCGAGGTTTCTCTCCGACCATCCTTGGTGTCATCCCCTATGCTGGTCTCAGCTTCTTTACTTATGAAACACTAAAGAAGTTGCACGCAGGTATTTTTACCCTTTTCAAACAAATTAAATAAAACAAATGCATATTTTTTGTTGCATCTAGCAACTTTTCTGATATTTTGTGTCATTAGAAACTGCCTAACAGTAAAATGGAACGGCTTAGTTTTAACTTTCTTTTCTTTTGTGGTATTTAATGTAAGAGCAGTTAAAGTCAAAATAAAAAGCATTAAAAAGTTCTTCCATTCTGTAGACAGAGCCTCACAAACAAAGCACACATCATTTTTTTATATACCAGTTTTATATAGCCCATAATAGAAATAAAATCGCAATAGTTATGAACAATATGACATCTGGCTATACCTAAATGTTAGATGCTACATACTGTTGCTGTTTTGCACAAATAAAAATCTGGACAGGGTTGCTAATGTCTTTTAACTCCTATTTGCAACATTCTGTAGGTTCACATCCCTGCTTTTATGGTCTATGTATGTTTAAAAATGGCTGCCACTTGCATTAACAGTACTGATATTTTCTTAGTTTGCCTCCCTCTTTAGATTTTTACTATTATTGTGTGACAGGAAGCTGTTTATTTTCTAAGTTCTCTAACCCCTCTGTTCCACTGGAAGCGGCGCCCATGTACTGCGCTGCACCGGGCTGTCACCTCTGACGCACTGGTTCTCGTCAATCAGAGTGGTTCCACTGAAAGCACCGCCGTGCGTTTCTGAAGCGTCCCAGAAGCCCCAGCTGTTTGATTCTTCTCTAAAATTAGTGACTGTTGTATTTTGCCACTTGCTGCTTTAAATCCAAGTCAGTCTGCAGCAGCGTGGATCATTCAGCGTGAACTACTGTGCCTTTTATCGGCTGATAAAAGGCACAGTAGAACCGATCCAGGTTCCAAGTAAAATACTACAGCCTCTGTATCACATTTTGTGGACTTTTATGTAATAAATAATGTTGTTCATACGGGCAATTGACAGCTGTGATAAATATGAGCATTAAATCAAGAGAATAACTGAAATAATGAAATATTTGAACTCACACATAGGTTTAAAAAAACAAAACATACAGTGATTAAATAACACATGACACATGAGACACTGGTAGAACTGGTTCAATAAACACTTTACTTGTTTGTTGTTTTGTTTAAAGCTTAGAAGTTCACTGCTATAGCGGGTTGATGTTGCGGTCCTGATCTGATCACAGTCCAGCCCTTCAAATTCGCTCTGGAGCTGTATCCATGAGAAGCTGTGGCGCAGCTGAACGGCATCCAGGGGACTCTTAGGCTGATACCTGTTTGAGACCCAGGAAAGCTGGATTAATTATGAGATTATATTACACACTTTTGTAAATTGGGTGATTTAAAATGGCAATTCTTTGCACTGGAATTTATGTGGGGGTAAATGGATTTAAATACAGATTTAAACCACACAGGTATTGTAAAATCTTTTAACTATGGAGTCTTTTTCCTCCACTTTATCACCCTCTATTGGTTTGTGTTGGTCTATCAAATAAAATACATTAATGTTTGTGTTGTGACAGAATGGCCTTTCTCCTTCCTCTCCCATGCAGAGCACAGTGGCCGCGCACAGCCTTACTCATATGAACGCCTGGCTTTCGGGGCCTGCGCCGGCCTGATTGGTCAGTCGGCGTCTTATCCTCTGGATGTGGTGAGACGACGCATGCAGACTGCAGGGGTGACGGGTCACACTTACGGCACCATCCTGGGCACCATGAAAGACATCGTTTCTGAGGAAGGGGTTATCAGAGGACTCTACAAAGGCCTCAGCATGAACTGGGTCAAAGGACCGATAGCTGTGGGAATCAGCTTCACCACCTTTGACCTAACGCAGATTCTGTTGAAGAAGCTGCATCAAATGGGATATACCCGGTAGAACCAGAGGGAACGGAGCCACACGATTCCATAAGCAGAAACCTGGAGAACCCTTATTGGTGGGAAGAAACAGACGTACAGTGACTAACAATGGCTTGTAGGGTTGGAATGTAGGGCGAATCTACAGCATCCACTGCAAACTGTTGTCAAGTGCAATATGATGAGTTTAATGTATGCATAGGTGGTAATGCTGCAGACCCGTGGAGAGAGATTTCTGGAGGTTTGCACACAGGTCCACCACTGGGGGGTTTAACATTTAACCAAAGGTTATAATTGGACTCTGTTGCAAAATATGTGTACGTTTTGCTTCTAAGGCTTATAGCATTAACAGTGGCGTGTGGATTAGTTATGTTTGGGATTAAAATGTTTCAACTGTACCCCCAACGACTGATGTGAGAACAGACCTGATCTATGCTATGAGATCGGAGTGCTAACATGGGCCCATATTGTTTATGTAGACATCAGGGTAAAAGTATTAGCTTTTATTGTTGCACATTTTCCACCCCCTGTCACAATGCCATGATCTGTGAAAGTTAAGCAATATGATAATTACCTCTAATCTGTTACTTTAACAAATGGAACTACCTGATGTAATCCAGTAAGACACCACAAAGTAAAAAGTTTACAGCTTCCTTGCTGCTCACACTTTGGCAACATTGGAAGTTTGTATTGAAGCAGACAGTTCAGGGCTGAGGCCTTTTAATTACCCTTCTTATCTGTGTATGTGTGATGTCTTCCATTTGCCGTCAGTAAAGACAGCTTTGTGTCTGTTTCCATACGTCTCTGTGCCAGTGAAAGGTCACTGTATCAAATCTGAGATCTCCCATTTAGGCAGGATTGAGGATAAGATGGCTGGAAATATGAGAACACCGACAAAATGTGTGATTTCAATGTTTTATTGTACGTTCAATGGTGAGTTAGCTCATCAGCTCAACACTGAGGCGTCATTGATGCAGGCTGACTGTCACTAACAAAAGCTGCTGGTTTCTATAGTTAGATCTGACATACCAAGGCAAGATTGGTTGAGCTGTGATGTTCTAAATGCAGAGCCAAGTGGAGCAGAGAGCAGGTCATAGCATCCACACCACAACATGGCAGAAAGATTCGACAGAGTTCATACACAGGATGTCATGATTTGTTTTTAGTCTTTATTTTGGTGCCCTCCAAACTTATTTGCATCCATTGTTAAGATATGTAGGAAAAAGGGAAATTTCTTTAAGATGGAAATTAATGAAATTATTAAAAATGTCAGATATAAACTGGAAAGAGAAGCTGACCCACAGCGTAACAGATCCTCCACTATACCCAGCATGAAGTCCTTTTCCACATGTTCATGTTTGTTTTTTAACTCATTTGACCAATTAAACAGTTTATTTCTCAGTAGAGATGAGAAATCTCTAAAAGTTCAACATTGTTTTAAAAGGACAAAAGATAATTTTCTTGCAAACATGTGGAAACCCCTAGATGCCAAAATATACTATTTTTCTTGGACCCCTAAGTCGATGATTGCGATCCGTATCTGGTACAAAGATAAACTTTTATACAGTTGCTTATTTTCTTTTATTCTGACTCTAGATTATGAGCAGCAGAGCCGCATTATTTTGATTTGAAAAATGGGAAAAGTAGCTAAGAGAATTTGGTATCTGATATTTTTTTTAACTCCAGAGAATTGGAAATCTATGCATAATTACTTAAAAGGTTCCAAAGTTTATAATAGATGTTTAATTAGATATAAATTAGAGCTGACCCTGAGTTTAACACCATATATATTTTTTGACAGTTTACCATTTGAAAGTGTCCGCCTGCATACATGACACTTCTTTAAAATATAAATTTAATTCAAAGCGTTTGACAGTTTTTGTTCTTTTCTTTTAACCTGTGTTGCTAATGAGCGTGGAGGCGGCTATTCAGTTAAAAGTCACTGAAGCACAAAGCTGTCGAAATGTTTGCAATCTGTGTATCTCAGCTAATCAGTAATGTTTTTGTGTGTTTACTTTTTTACTAGTAACACAAGGAGCAGAAAATTTTGTTTTTACATTGATTGTTTACTACTGCTGGAGAAATTAGCAAATTATCAGTAAGGGAACCAATTAGACGCTACTTTCTGTTAAATTCGATCCACATCAGGATCGATGATTAAAAGTCTCGTTTTCTCAATAGTTTGCTAGATATACAAAAAGAAAAGGATGATGTTGGAGGAGTTTTAACATGTTCCAACACTGACCTGATGGAAGCCAGCTTAATCAATGCCTGCATTTAGTTAGCCTTTTGCTGCACTCCAGTCATGTTACGCTGCAGTTTGCTTCACATGGATGCTGTTCTGATTCTTTAGTCCTCTGGGCTGCAGTGCAAAGCAACCTCCTTGCTGCGATATTTTGCAGAACCGATTTAAAGCAACTATTAACTGCCAATTGTATCAATATCAATGACTTATCCAACCTAGGAGAGAGAAATAAACTCTAACCAGCTTTAATGCTGTAACCAGTGTGAGAGGCTGAAATAAGATGGTAGCTAAAGCCCAACCGTAGGGTGATCCTGACACTGAAGTGCCTAACCAACAGAAGTATTTTTACTGTAACGGAGTTAAATCTGCTAACTGCCCTCATGGTTTTTATTCAGTTTTGAAGCAATGAGTTTTTGAGAGGCAGTAGTTTCAGAGAGCTTTTAATCTCCGTGACTGAATGTATTAACTACTGTACCGGTCCAGATTTGCTATGTGAATCTTTGTAAATCTTTAACTGCCTTGTGGAGTTTTTTTGTCTGATGCTTTATCGTTGCTATTATATGAGATCCACAGTTGTATTACAACACTTTTTTTTGGCTGATTTGAATATAGCTTCGTTTTAAAAGTGTGTATATATATATATATATATATATATATATATATATATATATATATATATATATATATATATATATATATATATATATATAAATATAAAAAATATGAATTTAGTGTCTGGTTCTTTACAGGGAGGAGACCAAGACAATCATAAAAAGGCCAAAAAGTTGGATCTTTTCTTGGTAAACAATCAAAACTGTAAAACAGCAGAAAAAAAAAATCAGAAAGTTTTTGTTTTTTCTTTAATTAATAAATGCAGATGTTGTTTTTGTGCTGCAGAAAATAATATTGTGGGATTTACTTTGATTGCAGCTGTTTTTTGTTTGTGCCAACTGAATGTACCATAGCTACTAAACAGCCTCATCATGTGTCTGTAGTGATAATGGAGTAACTGTTGGTATATTACTCGTATATTAAATTCTTAAAATAAAACTGGATGTTCACAGTGGTAATGTTGTTTTTTTCAAAATATATATTTATAATGCAGCACTGCATTATTATTTGCAATTCTGGTATAGGTGGATAAAATCCTTAATAATATCACTGATCCCCCACTTTCTGTTTTAAAATTTTTTAGGGAACTTTTAATTGTTAACCAGTTACTTCTTCTCTCCATGGAGTACAATAATGAAAAATGTCCTCGTTAAAATGGAAATGACAAACATATTATACTTATGCAGATTTATGTCAATGTTTATAATTCATAGTTTAAGGAAAAACTAGTCTAAAACTGTACCTGTGTCAAACAAGGTTCAATTGAAAAAAGATTGAATTGGTGTTATTTTAGTTACAAAAGAACAAAAACTGATTATTTTTTCTTAATGGTGCAGAAGAAATTAACTAAACGGCTTAAATTATCTTTATATTATAGTATATTTTTTAGTGTGAGATTGTGCTACTGGGATATTACTTTATAGTTTTTCAGCAAATTGTCACGTATACACAAATTAATGGAGAACTCACATTCCTCTGCTGGTTCCCTTTATCCTCCAGAATTGAACTAAATAGTTTTCGTTGGTTAACAATCTCTATCCAACTATACCATAGGGCAGTGCAGGGAAAACATCTGAGAATCTGCTGTTGAGACCCGACTGACTTTAGTTTAAGACAGGGGTCATTAATGTGGTGCCCGTGGGCACCAAGGGGCCCTCAAGGACCACATGGGATGCCCTCAGCATCTTCTGAAAACAGAAGAACTCACTAGTGGACTAAGTTTGAAATTTTATTTTAAACTGCTGCTCTTATTTTTTTATTTTTTTATCATCATTTATAGAGCATTTGATATAAATTATTTAGAACATTGAAGCCACTGTAGGGATTTCAAAATGACAATATCTAAAACCAAATTGAAAATGAAAAGAAACAACAGAAATATGTTTATCTAAGACGTTTAGGTGAATGCTGACTCCTCCGATTCAGAGTCAGCATGGTAGCTCGATATAAGCCTCTTTTAAGGCTGCTATGACCCGGATGAACACTTGATGCTTTCCTTTAGTTCGCTTGTGAAGATTCTCAGTCATGTTCATGAGTCTGCAATACAAATAAACGAGTATTTTTTAGTGATCATTTATGTAATGACACACTTTATCCACAAGAGGGCGCGCTCCTCTAATAAATCACTGGTCACCTGCAACCTGTAGTGCATCATAAAAGCCGACAGGGGGCGGAACAACCTTGTTCTTATGGTTGAAAACAGGCTCAGGAACAGGGGTTCATTTGTCCGAGGCCGCAGACACGCTTTGGGCTTGAACGCATCATAATGTCTTGAAACACTAACTGATAATAATATTATAATAATAAAATAACAATTAGATTTAGATAATTTAATTGCTTACATTACAACATTTCAATGGTTTGATTTAGCTTTTATTTTTTTCTGTAAAAAAAAAGAAGCAAACTGATATTAGGGTAAAGGCTTGTAATCTTCTAAAAAGCAGTTAAATTGCTTTGCCTTTATGGACAGCTAGATTGTGCATATTTTTATGTAGGGGAAAAAAAAGGGGCACACAATAAGAAAGCACCTAAAAGGAAGACAGAAGGCTAATTAGAGAGTGAAGGAGGGAGAGAAGGATGGGGGCTGCTGGAAGATGGTGTTGCTATAGATACTTGGCATGATGCCGGATGGAGGCAGCTGCAATTTGCATTTATTCAGAAGATAGTTGCACCCGTCACAAAAAAAAAAAAAAAAAAATCACCGGAAACATTCCTTTAATTTCCATTTTTTTACCCTACGAGGTTAAATGTTTTTTAAAAAAAAAGTTCCTCAGGTTTTTCTTCTACAAAAAGCGTTCAAAACTAGTTTACAACATAATAATAACTTACATGCACCTCATAACAAATAAAATATAATACCATGCGCTGATAAATGTTATATTTACACTTCCTTAAATCCATTAGCACACACGGCAGATATTCTGTTGTAATTTCAAGCAGTTTATTTTAAGATATTCTATTAAAAATATATCTTATTGTAGTATGATTATTTTCCCCCCTTTGTTCAAATTAACTCTTATTTTAGATAAAAGAAATTAACCAAAAAAAATCTTACAGACTAAAATGACCAAGGCAGAGATTTGAAGGCCTAAATATTTATATCCTCCAATTTGACTGATAGAAAAACAGAAAAAACTATTTCAGTTT